GACCGAAGCACCCGAACGCATTTAGTGGGGTATGGCCTGAGTTCAACAACCTTCTTCGGCCTTCAACATTAGCTCTATCCCTTCAATTTCACTTCTGTCAGGAGAGCCCTTAATCGTGACGTTTTTCATGGGTTTGCTGTGGAGACATCATCACGGAGAAATTTAGGGTCGAAATCGGAGAGCTCGTTTCTTGCTAGGCCTCGTCGCTGAAATCTCCCCTGAGACCAGCGATAATCGACACAAATCCTTGTCCATACTAGCTCTAACCCCTCACGCCTATTCCAATGTCAAGCTGCCGTTAATATCCCTTCAACGTCGTCTTCATCTCTCGACTTAAACGTTCGATACTCCAAAGACGAGCTATCAAAAGGATCATCTGACACACCGTTGAACAGGGATTTTTTGGCAGACCTGCGCTAACGTGCTCTAAGGAATCGGTCAGCACTACATAAAACTCGTCCAAGTCACTATTAGGGAGGACTCGCGACCCTAAGAAATGCGTCTTTGGGGTGCCTTCAAACAGCATCCTTTTCCTCAAATGTAGAAGTAGTAGAAGCCTTCCTTCTATTAGAGTATTGACTCTCATACTGATATCTTTCCTTTCCGCAAACCTCAGAACATGCTGAGAGGGTGTGTACTTGAATGGCATGTTTTGCGGGTCCTTTAAAAGTAGTCAGTTGGAATCCAGAGGCAGGATTACGGTCATTGATCGAAACCATCAAGCTACGGTAGACCTCTGTGTACACCAAGCTCTGTGGACAACCAGCTCAAAATGATGTGCTGTTTCTCCGCCACCATCCCTCCTGAGAAGGAAATCGTTTTTTTTCCTGGTTCTCTATTCGCATTTTGTAGGTGTAAATCCCCGCCATGCGCATTCACCCATTTCCTTGACCCTGTTAAGGGTTTAGCGAAAATTGAGGCAAGGTTGAAATGGAACAGAAGGATGAGGGAACAGTAGTTGCTTGGTAGTCCTCACCAACGGCGGGGAGACAGGGAACAGCTCTCGGCAGCAGGGCTCGCTATATTTCGGCCATGATCCATGATCGGCTGGCAGCCATTCCCCAGGGCGTCATCAAGCAAGGTTCATTTCCCATGTGAACTCTAAAAGACAGCAAATTCCAACAGCAGACTTGTTCGGTTTGCTCTTAACTTAACTTAAAAGTGTTCGCCAGTACCAAGTGAGTTTCTCGTCCTCAATACGTGAGCGTGCGTAATAATGTAAATTTCGAGTACTGAGGTTACCACGAGTTGTTTGTTTGTCAATTTTTCTTTGATTGCTTCAACTGTTCCATGAAAGTTTAGTTATTTGGCTGTGAATGTGGCAGGGCTTATTAAATTGGAGTGAAGGAGAAAGATGACTTTTTTTGGGCTGCTACATAGTCCGAGACATTTCGTATTTTCTTTATGACCACTCTTTGCTCGGCTTTCAATCCACAAATTATTTCCTTTTTATTCCAAAATTCATTCTGCCTATGGTTTCCAGCACTCCGATCGTACTCAAACTCCAATCACCATTTCCGAGATTTCAGTGTGAGCTAAAACTATCGTCATCTTTTCAAGGCCACTTCTTCGATGTCATAAAATGTTTGTCGAAATATCAGGGAAGATCACTGAATATCAGGCGGAATCACTAGTAAATAGCACTCATTAATGGTCGCACTTCCGGCTTATGTTAACCCCGCAAATTTTTTGCATAGTCAGCAGCTCAAGACATTTCTATGCCATCAATCTTGTTACCGCTCTGTATTTTTTGGAAACAACTGTCAAGACAAATGGTTACTTCGTAATAACCTTCATCAAAAGAAAGCAAAGTCATAAATCGTAATGTTCATGTAGCTGTTTGTGGCTTACATTACGACGACCTTCTGAATTGAGGTCCATCGGCGATAAATTTGTATAGGTTAGTACCTTGCTCAAGCACAGTCACAATAAAAATCTTTCATGAGATACCCACTAGAATGAATTCGTTGCTCCCTTGTATACCATGTGTGGCGCTGTAAGGTCGGAAAACGGCCTAGATAGAGCGCTATAAAGGCTCGAACATTGTCCTGTGCGCGGACGTGTTTCAACGGCATTGTAAAAGCTGCCCCATTCACTAGAGAATCCATGTAGGAAGCTTAAACAACTTGTCATGATCCATGGCGACAAAAGACAATTCTGAACAGTTTCGGCTCGATGTAGTCAGCTTTTTACGCAATTGCAACAACGGCAATCTCGTTCGTAAACCCTTTCCATGTTATTTCCGTCATGGTAATCTCGTCCAAACTCTATTTTCCCTACTTTTAGGGAACCTTATTTTTCTCAAAATCGGCGAATTTTTCAGCTTTCTTCATTACCGTTGAATCATTCCCAACGTATACTTCCGCTTATCAACAAAAAAGACGTACTTCAAAATTANTATCATGAACTGTGCCTTGAAGATGTCAGACTAAGGCCCGGCGGACGTGAGTTCCTTAGAAGGGACCCCGCTAGTCGTTGCGCCAATAAATGTATTGGACCAGCGGATATGAAGAGCTATTGACGACAATATGGGGCGACGAACACCTGACACCCGTCCCCGATCACACCTTTACTCTCCTCGTATATCAACTACGCTGAAATTGTCCCCATCATTCCAATGTCAATTGGCCATCTATCTTCTTTAACGGGATTTTTCCCTTTCCTACTCCTTTTGTTAGGATTTCCTTGTGAAACTTGTAGAAAAAATTGGGTCCTGTGGTGATATGATTTTTTAGTTCGAAAATTATTTTTTGAAAATATCAAAAGTCCCCAGTTGGAGGAATCGGTTCGAAAGCTCGAAAATCGAGCTTTATTAGAGATTTTTCGAAGCCATTACTGTTTATTGCCTTTACCCATGGTAATTCCATGTTTGGTATTATTACCCAATACTTTACTGATTAGAACTACTGGGCGATTATTTTCTTGAAATAAATTTATGCATACATATCAAGGTAACCATAAAATTTCATGGGCATTTTAAAACTAGCTAGTCAACCCGACTTTCTCTTGGAATTGCTGTTTCAGAGTGGTAACCCCAGCTCCACTCACCCATATCGGGACTATCTTTGAACATGTACGTAGGAATTCCACAGGCCAATGAAATTATTTTTCAGATTTCTTTTTTAAGTTTTGTAAGTAGAAGACCAGTGTTCCCTGCTTAATGGGCTCCTCCGCCTAGATAAACTGATGTATTTACCTTCTAACAGTACTTTGTAATAGCTATTTATCTGCCTGATGTATTTACTTTTTGACAAGGGGCAAACATGCAGGGCAGAGGACATCTGTCCGGGAATTTATTGCAATCTGCCAATTCTACTGATTCCTTCGGGCTTGTTCAATTGCATGCTGCTCTCTTTCTCCTGCTCATCACATCATCTTTTTTGTCTTCCAATCCACTTGGGTCTTCTCTCCACCGGAACATTGGAAGTAGTTAATTCCTCGAAATCGGCTCGTTTTCTTTGCGAAGTTTAATCCAAGCAATTTATTCGTCGTTACCGTCGTCGATTGCGTCGATTGCCTAGAATCAACGTGATTTTCTACAATCTTTGAGATTCCTCTACTGGGTTATGTCGATGCTGTCAGTATGTTAGCAGTGCTTCTGTCACTCAGCGTATTTGAATCTATTCAAGGATACGATTTAGGTGAGCATAAACAATAAAACATAAACAACACAACATAAAATAAACACAAATATTGAATCTGATTCCATGCCGTATCTTCCGGATGACAGGTAATCTACCTAACAATATAAACCTGCTTTGATCCCCTTTACGAGTTTCCAGTATTTGCCTCTATATCTCTCAAATAAGCCATTCTACGAGAACTTGAAAATTGTGGGTGATGAACTTCCTCCAGTGCGTCACCCATTTGAATGTCATTCGGCATCAGTTAGACAAGTCAGATTTTGAAGTACTGTGAAAGTGTGATACAGTATCCCTCATGCCCTACCTCCTTTGAAGTCCTTTGAAGATTCTTTAAGACTTTCAAATCCGTTTCGTTCTAGTGTTTTTATGGGTTCAGCATCACTGCTTAGTGTCGAGCACAAACTGTCGGGCTTCCTATGCTGAAGTTCAAGGCTTGGGCATAGAAGATCTGTTATGAAAATAAAGATTGTAACAAATCTGTAAACTCAATTTCTAATAAAGACCAAAATTGTGCGACCTCGCGATCTAAGAGGGAGTTTTCTGCATAAAACCCCGCCTCGAGTCGGTCTCGACTGTGTACCCACTGAGCAGCCATCTTGCCAAACACCGCTTTTAGTTTAGTTGTTTTTAGTTGTTTTATTCTTTCCAATTCCTCTCCAATCATTTCAGCAAAGCTGTGCGGGTGATCTGAACCATAACAACTTCTCAGTGTTTCTGAGTAGCTGGCCTCCCCTCCCACTGTAACTTATGTGTAAACGCGCACACGATGGCCATTATTTCCAACTAATGTGGCCCATCTCGATCTGATTGATTGATGGGCCATATTAATCTGTTGATCGATCAATTAATAGCCGAGTAGTGACAATCCAGTAGTACCCAAGTGTGCTATCAGACAAATGAATGGTCTAAAGACTGCAATCTTCCGAGTTGATCGTGTAGGGCTTTACGCTTCGAAATTGAGAGGGTACAGATAAAGCGACACAAGCTCCCAGAATGGAATAGTAGGAGATGAGTTCGACTAGCTGAGCGCAAAGGTGATTTTTGAGGTTTTCGCCGGTTACCTGACTTTGCTCATAGTCAAAAGCTTCACCATCATCTGTGGCCTGTTCAGTGATAACTATGAACGCATCTTGCCCTAGAGGAATGTCGAACAAGGTCGATAAAAACCAAAAGTGACTGAAATGACGACATTCTGCCTGAGCGGAGGTGAACGCCTATCTTCAGGGCTCAGAGCTATTACGAGAATAGAGCCCATGATTCAGTATACCTGCTGGACGCCTTTTAGTGTCAATAACTCACTTAGGCGTTAGATATTGTTTGGATCTAGCGAACAGAATACATGAGTTGATCTCGCGGATGTCTGCGGGAGGGTTTGCCGAACAGTTTCTCTATTCTTTCGACAGCAGGGAATTCCCGGAGTCTCCTATCGCTCGTTCTTTTCCAGGCTCACTTCCACGACAAATTGAATGCTTCTCGTGTATGTCTTTATCGTATCAAACCAGTTGGAAATATCTACAGGCTACCTACATCTATCCAAAGGTAAGTATATCTAAAATTTTGTATTTCCCCCAAGTCCTTCACTGATTTTCTTATTGACACCCGATTCTCTAAAGCTCACAGAGCACGCAGCTCCCATAAAAAAGCTGATGTATGCAGCTTTGAAAATTGTTGGTTTGAGGTATTCACGGATCGATGTAGGGATCCAGGTAGTGAACGTGGGATGCCAACGGTGCCTTGTTCCACAGTTTGTATATCATTGCTGGAACCAGACATAGAAGCCGGTCAGTTCAACACTAAAACCAATTTTTCAAGTACAATTACAGCCTCATTACGGTTACTTTCAAAGGATTGAGAAACTGCCGCTCCTGAAGAGCGTATTCCTTCTCACTTTAGGTGTCTTCATTGGTTACAAGCACATTCGTGGTTGTATGGATCGAGTTTTACGGCATGGCTTCAATCAAACCGCATTGAGAACGCACCGGTTTCATCACCATGTGAGTTTTTCATGATATCGTTCCTAGACAAAACTTCCTAATGAACCCACGGCATCGGAAGAGGTTAAACGAAGTAGGATTCAACCTCTGAGAACGAGTCGCGCGAGCACATACGATTTATGTAGACCCTTACACTCAAAAGTAAACAGGCGATGGTGGACGGAACGAATCTGATGAAGATACCGACTGTTTCCTGTGAAGGATGTTTTGAAGTCTTACGATTTTCTCAGCGTACACCTTGACTTGCTCGCTGTGATGAGGCCTTGCATCTTGCATAAATTAAGATTTGTGAGCTTACATTGTAGACAGTTCCTTAAAAAATGGAAGGGCTAAGTGGTAGCGTCTATCAGCTAGGCAAGCTTTCCTTTTAAATACCAAAAATCCTCTGATAAGCAAAATACAGAATCTTCAAAGCCGTCTTTGCTCCCCATTACGAGGACCGTTTGACCGACTGACTCACTCGGGCTCGAGAAAACCCAGTGTAGGACGAGGGCGCGGAGCGTGAGGAGCATCTCTGCCTGCTCAGAATGCTCGAAGCTGANNNNATGCCGTAGCTTATGGTACGTGGCTTCTATAAAACGAGCGTTTAATGGCTCTCAAGCATGGAGAGGAAACTAGAACAAGTGGGAAGGTAGAGTATTGTCAAGGGGTAGAGAACACATGACGATCAGCCACTCTCTGACCCTTGGCAAAGAAATATGACATCACGATTGCCGGAAGCCTTCGTTTCGAGACGTAATTTTGGTATTTGTTCATTATTTCAGTGCGTTTGCTAATCAATTGCTTTCAGAATCAATGTCGGACTCTGTCACGAGCCCACCTTTTCAATCCAGCTCGAGCTGCTGATCCACCTGCGATTGGAGACGTGCAGTTGTGTAGTTGCTATGGTGACCGATGTAATGGCAATAATCAGGGAGCACAACTACTTACCAAATTCGCTTCTCTTCTGATCATGACCACCTTTCTGCTGACTTGGTTTCAATAGCAGCGGATTGCTTAGTGTCTTGGTCCACAATTATTGACCGGTGTCAAGTGAGGTGCTCAAAGTTCAAACAGTGATGAAATGGATTGCCTAAGACCCATTTCCGAAGGCCAGGTGGTCTTTCCTTTTCAGCCCCGAGGTTGCCGACTAGGTCAAGATCCTTTCGACCCCACGGGAGAACGTGGAGTCGGCGCCATCGGGGCCGCGACGGTAGTGTAGATTGACATGGTGCGGGCTGGTGTCAAGAAGCGGCATTTCGGTGAGGTTCCAGCAGTAGTCGAAGGTGAACAGAGCTCAGTGTTTGAGACTGCAAATAGATCTGAGCACGTTTAAGGAAACTCCGATTTCTAGGTACCATTTACAAACGATGTAACTCGTAGAGAAACAAAATCCCTAACCGATTTCTGCTTGGGTAATGCTTTGATGAGGCCTTCGGAAACGCACCCAGACTTTTCTCCAGCGACGTAAACCATTCTTAAAGATCGCGATCAACGATAGAGTTTGCTCGCCAAATCGGCAGGTACAACGACATTATACATCGGTTAGTTCACAAACTCAGTGCTAGCACGATCTGAAAATGGACTCTGCGCTGGAAAGCGCCGACTTTCTTTCCTGGGTAGTAAAAAACCTACTTCTCCTCTTACAAGACGATAAACTTGCCCTCGCCTCATTAACCCTTTGACGACAATGGCACTTACCGGTGGTTGCCACTAGTCTGGCACATGGGACATTAGCATCCAATTTTGGGAGCCACCATACCCTCTTGTTTCTTACCAACGGTTGAATTCAATTAGCCAGTGAAAGAATTTTCTCCTTAGACAGTGCCACCCAGGGGGGGTGCCAGTCGCCTGCGAAAGGAGGAGAGTGAGGTACCATGGGCGTCGATCGTCAAAGGGTTAACCTTTACGGTGCAATGCTGATATTGGCTGACGTGTTCACCATGTTAATGGGTAAGTGCTGATAACCTGCGGCATTATGAAAGCGAGGGCATTTGAGGTAAGGAACAGGGATGCACGGGTTTATGTCCCATTTGAGCTGAAGTTTTGATTGGAACAAGTTCAACTCCCGTCTGAATCCAATTTTTGCCCGGAACCCAACATCCACATAAAAATTGAAACGTTTTATAGCGAGATTGGACTCTAACCTGAAACATCCGGGATTTCTACGTTGGACTAAGTTGGTTCCATGCTTCAAAAAAATAGCCACCGTTGACCGAAATGCCACTTGCTTTGATCACCAGCGCTCTCGTTTATCCCCACCGTCTGCCTTGCTCAGTGTTATTCGTTTATTATTTCTCTAGTCTTTCGTAGCCCGATGAGATCTCTTGCTCTATTTCATTTCTCATCGCAGAGTTTATAATTGCCCATAATAATACTTACCGTTACTTCACGGGTCGATGTCTACTTTTTGAGATTTTCAAGCCGCTATCATTGATTGCCATTTGCACGTTTCGTTCTGAATTTCGAAATTAATGGATATTCTTGATAATCAATGATGGCGACTCTGCATTTATTTATTGTACATGTATACGAATAAATATTGAAACTAGCTTCTCAGAGCTCAATCCTTTCGCTCTGAACAGGTTTTTTCAATGATGGAATACTCATTTTGCTTAACGGTCCAACAGGTTCATTTCACTCAAAGCTCTTAAAGAATTCCGAAACTTTTCACAATGTCAATCATCACGCTTGATGCAGGCCAACCTTAGCGCCTTATGGAACGCCCAGGGAGGGGGAATGAAGAATCACCCCAAGTAAATGACTGTGAACGGCGCGGACGTCCAAATGGCCTTACTGCTCTGCCATGGGTTAGATAAGTGACGCTGGAGCAGAGAATGTTCTGCCATTGGTTAGAAAAGTCGGCAATGGAGAAAAAAAAGAGCGGTTCTGGTGCAGAGTGGGCAATGATAAATTGGTAGGAAACCGCGTTTTTCGGTTACATAGACCAGAATTTGATGAAAGAGTAAACATCACCAAAAAAAGCGTTTCAGAAAATTGGATAAAAACTGGACACTAAAAAACGCTCAGTGGATACGATGTTTCACAAAATTTATTTATTTATTTATGGGTGCGTCTAAAGGACGCGCTTCGACAACAGAGAGGGCAATCCTGCAGTGTAAGGAGTTGGCAACACGTAGTGAAAAACATAAATCAAAACAAAATAAAGTGATGTAAGTGAAAAGAAAACAAACAAACTCAACATCTAACTCGGTAACGAAACCCAATGAGGGGAAGGAGGNGGAGTCCAAGAATCGGAAGAAAAGTGCTCTGCCTCAATGTCTATCATGCACGCATTCACCGGCGTAGGGAGAAGAAGCTTGCCCCAAACATCCACGACGTCGGTACCACCTGATCCTAACATTGCACAAACCTACACCAACCGGCTATGGCGCCCGCTCGCCACACACAGGGTCATAGGCACATGCTGCAGCTTCGAGACACGGGTATACCAATCACCCTCGTGGGAACAGCAAGCAAAGCAAGTGCAAGCTGGACCGCAAGGAGACGCGAAGATCGTGTGCAGCAAACCTAACCTCACTATGCGAGTACAAGACAGCTTCAGGAAAGATGAGTGTGAGTAATCAAGAGTAATAGTTTTCGTTCTAATTTCAAAACTATACACCACGATCCGCTTGGGCAGCAAGGCCGGCTTTTCAAAGGAAATATCGACACTATGATACGTCAGCAATGGCTAACAATTCCAAAATATTGATTTTTTGATTAAGTTTTTGAAGTGCCGTGAGTTTCGAACTGCCAAAAAATGAGATGGTAGAGACTCAAGCCACATTGAGGTGCAAAAAATAAAACAATTTCCTCTCAGATTTTTATGCCATCTGCCTATTTTGTGGTTGTAAATTTGGAGTGCGCCTCTTCGTCCGTTAGTTGGTCGGAACCTCCAATATCTGGAAGGCATTACTCGCAACTCGCCTTTGAATATCTTAAAAGGTGATTTCAGGCATAGAAAAGCAAACAGTTGTATGATTCAAAGAATGGAGAGGTGGCATGGCGTAGACGCGGGGGAAGGATACTTGGTCGCAGTGGCCACTCAAGATGAGATGTATACCCCCGTAGGTGGTTTCCAACGCTGATCTCAAATCTGTGTTCCAAATCTGCTAAACG